GCATAAGTCGCAAGAGGTCTTTTTCAAAGTACCAATTTTTAGCGCGGGATCAACAATATAGCAGTCTTGTTTACCGTTTTTCTTGAAATTTGATTTTTCCATAACTTTTTGACTAGCCCTCGTATATGACACAAAACTGAAAATTTTGTTAAATCTGAAAATTTGTATTAGGAGAGCATAAGTCGCGAAAGGTCTTTTTCAGAGTTCCAATTTTTAGCGCGGGATAAACTATATATAGCAGTTTCGTTTTCTGTTATTCTAGGTAGTTTGGCTTTGAAACATTTGATTGCACTAGTACTATCAAAATTTATGTTTATTTGCAGTATTATAACTATAAATCAAATTTCTCAAAAAAATGTTTACTGTTATTTTTAATAAGTAAAACGCTATTTACATTAAAACGAAGTTTATTTAGCAATTTTATTACATATTTCAATTTACATAAAATAAAATTTGTTTAATAACAAATTTATTGTTGGAAATTAATAGCACTTATAATAAACATCAACAAATAGGTATTTCAAATAACAATACATTTTAACGACTTTTAAAAGTTAAAAATAAAATACCTGCAAGAGAGACAATAAAATCAATAAAATTTCAAAGCAAATACAATAAAAAGCATCATATTCTACATAAACTGTGATACCATTATTATTTAAATGCAAGATTAGGGAGAATAAATGATAAAACATGTATTTTGATAGAATCTATTTATTTTAAATATCGATTACATAGAATAGGTAGTGTGCTTGCCAAGATAAAATATGAATATTTACAGTCTAATAAAAAAAAGTTGTACTTAGCGATTTAAAGCTCGTACTAAAAGAAATCTCGTTGAATTTGAAAGCGATAGCAATAAAATTCCAAGTTTTCCATTTTTTCCTTGCATAGACTCAATTTATCAACTCTTTACAAACCTTTTAACTGTTGCAATTTAACTTTACATGCATATGATTTCAAATTCAATTCAACATATTAACAATTTTTTTGTTTATATTTACAGAAAGTAATTAATTAAAAAACATTGCATTTGCCAACACATCGTTGCAAAGTAAAGCATGATGGGAAGATTATGGTTCCTTTCACAAATGAATTATATTAATTAATTTAATTAATTTTGAAAACACTGAATTGCACTTTAGTTTCTATTTGAAAAAACATATTCTTCGTCTTCCTTTGCACTAACATTAAAAAAAAATTAGCTAAAAAGGAACTAAAACCAAACTCCTTCTGATAATTATTAGCTATAGCTTGATTTTCTCAAAAATTTTCGTTTAACAACAAATACTATCTAATATAAGAAATGAAGAAATTAAGTAATATTTTGATAAATGTACTTAACTATCTAACTACGCTTAAGAGATTACATGCAATTACAGCGCATGTTTAACAAATGTATAATACATGTCTTCATTATTACTATTATTCTAGGAGTAAACATGTCATTAATACCTAAAAGATCCATGAAATTATATTGCTGCTATTGCTTCACAATACAATCCCATCCTAAGTGATTACTTCTTATTATTTACATAACTCTTAAACCGTAACACACCACACTGCTGCCTCTCTCACATTCTCTCTGCCTTCCTTCTCTCTCTCCTTGTAGACTTGCAGTCACCACCCATTTATTTTATATAACTTACGTCTTGTATTGCTACAGTTTGAAGGATACAAATTCACAAAGTTAGCTTACTTAACCGTTGAATAATTCTGTGACTGATTTTGATTGTTTGCAACCCAAGTTGTGAAGACATCCCTGAAATGGAGTATGAAAAATTAATATAAAGAATTTACCTGATGCTATTTGTAGTACATTAATTGTGAAAACAAAATTACGTTGGGAATAACTTCACAAACATTATTCAAACGTCTTGATATCATTTTAAACATTATTAAATGATACAGTTGTATCAAAATTTATTTGGTATTTTTGTTCATTTTGTCTGAAAATAGGGGAATTCTACTATAAACAGATAGGGACCAAATATTGGTATTTAAAGTAGAAATTGATGATTGCATTAAAGGAAAAAATGAACTAAAAAGAAACCAATCCTAATTAGAGATCTGAAATTATCTTGTACTGCAACTAAGGATCATGCAATTTCATTAATTTTATTTTAGAATTGCAACACTCAAATTTTTTATGTTTTAATTTGCAAAAGAAAAACTTATTATATCTCCACTTCCTATTCAAATAAGTGCAAAAATTAATTACATACTGATAACCCTTTCATATAAAACAAAAATATTCATTAAATAATTACTGTTCAAATCCAGTAGACTTACCGGCAATGACTGACAACACATTCGTTACTGCAATACTCATCTTCCCACTCTGGATTGGATATGGCTGGATTAGTACATCCATGACGTATGCATGAATTGGGGCGCATTCCTGGTTGTCCTATGTTTTGTTGAGAAACTGATGATTGGGGTGGTGGTCCTGTGGACGATACTGGGGAAGAACTGGACACCATAGGAGGAGGACTTACATGCTGCATGTGTGGAGGGTGCTGATTTACTTGTTGTTGGGTCACCTGCAACAAATATTTCCTGCATAAATTAACAAATATAAAATAAAGTTTATACATTTTTCTTTCAAGGTTATGAACTCAATAAAAGTAATAAAATGAAATGCATACCAAGTAGAACATTTTAAATTTTGTTATTTTCGGCCTTTGTTCACCTTGAACGTTCATTAAATAATGACAAGGAATTATTTCAATTATTCTACTGCCCTATTGTTAAAATGTAAACACATCACAATACATTTTCATAAATGGCACCACTCAATGAACCGGTTTACGAACATACACTTAGCACCTAGCTATACTTCTAAAAATAATTCGAGGTACATTTAACAAGCCACAATAAACTATAACAAAAGAAATGCTTATAAGTTAATTCTGCGGTAATAAATTTTTTAAAATAAACTTGTAAACAATGGTAAGAAACAATTAACGAGCTTCTACTATTTCGCGTCTCTTTTTAACCAGTTAAAACCGTTATATAACCAACCTGTTTTCTTGTCTGTGATAATTCCATCGATCGCGTATCAGCCATCTTAGCATACAAATACCGCGCAAGCGTAAACTGCTAGTTCAGTAGGCGCTGAATTTAAAATAGTTACGTACAGAGTGTTCTTTTTTTTGTGGCACAAATGTTAAACTTTTGAAAATGGTATGAAACAAAATATCACGAAAATAATGAACGATAGAAAGATAGCAGCTTACACATCTACCGTAAACGTCAAAAACATTAACTATTAAATAGTTAAAATTGAAATGGTTACCAAGATACAAAAACACCTTTTTCAATTAAAGCTGAAAAAAGTTTGGTAGGTATGCAATGTAATTAATAAGTACGGACCAATTTGCACAAATTTATATTAATAAAAAAAAGGAAAAAACTGATTAAAAAAAGTTAAAACCAACCGAATTGAGTAGCAGGACAATGGCTTAAAAGATTTCCTGTTTTAGTGCTACAATAATTTTGAAACGTTTATAACGACGACTACAATTCCGTCGCAATTTCCGGAAGTTGCTAAATAGATATGTAGAAAAAAGAGAGCAGAAAATAATGAAAGAAAACAATATTTATTGGCCGACAGTTTTCATAAATGCAATTCACCGTATACCTAATTTTGAAAAATGAAGTTTCCGTCACAAAAGTAAATATTGTTTTGCATTATCTTACCTGTTGCATATAGCTGTTGTTGTGTTGTTGTGCCACGTGCTGTTGCATATTCATGTGATTTGGCACGTGTCCCATAGGAGATTGCATAGGTGACGGCATCATTCCCTGATGTTGCTGGGGTTGTTGGCTGGTCATATTACTCATCATGGGTGGCCCCCTCTTACTCATCGTCGATTGTTGGGAAGTGGGAGGAGTAGGTGCTGAAGACATTGGGGGTGAAGGAAGAGCGTTTTGGGGAGAGTACGCGTTATATTGAGGAGGTTGTGGGGCACCTCCCCCATAGTTGCCATAATTACCGTACATATTTTCATTTTCACTGGCTCCTTTAGAAACAAGACTTGCCCTATAAGCTGCCAAAGCTTTCAAATACTCCTTCTTAGCTGCCTCAGTTTTCTTTTTGTAAACCTTTTAAACGAAAAAAATACTAAGTACCTAATACAACTATTAATTAAAAATTAAAAAAAAAAAGAAAAAAAAAACAAAATGAATTACATTTTTGTGTTCGGAATCTAAAGAATCCCACATGGATGCAACAATTTTAGAAACTTCTCCGAAACTGGCGTTAGGATTTTGTCCTTTGATAGCTGCCTGGGTGTCCCGAAAGAATAGTGCGTACGCAGAGACGGGCCTGGAAAAAACATTCCTATATAAGAAACGGAGAACTACTTTAATACATCATAATAAAACTAAACCAGTGGAATAACTCTTACTTATTATGATAACCGGTTTATTATTAATGCAATAGAGAAGAAAATTATCTGCTTTTATTTCAGTTAATTACAGAAATAAAGTTAATACGGCATAAAATTTATTGATCAATAAAGTTAAGTAAAGAACTGAAAATAATTAATTTTCTTATTGGAAAGCATACATATGTTTTGAAAGAATTTAATAACAGGCCTCTTAATAGTCTTCATACTCTTAACACCCATAAAATTATGTTTTCGATCATAAATATAGTAAAGATAGGTATAAAAAGTTTATGAAACGTGGTGAAAGTTCTTTGAACTATGAAAACTTTATATATTAATAGATAACGACAAATTATGGTAAACGTGTGCTAGTTAATTATTATTAACGCTGACTAACCGAATCTTTTATCACAATTCTGATAAATTCAGTTTTTTCTTACGACCAAAACAAAAACTTCGCAATTATTAAAACCAAAAATAACTTTGATGTAACTTATTATCTGCCACAATTTGCATGAATGAATGGCGAAGAAATGAGATAACAGAAACCTAAATCACTTTCCTCTTTGATTGCGTCTCTTGAAAGGAATATTCCGTAATTTCCTTTTTCTCCTCTTTTCGCCAGCAGGATTAAGTAACGTCAAAGAAAAGCTGGCTAGTCGGAATCATTTATGACCTTTGAGATAAAATATAAAGTTTCATTTCACCGAGTAAATTGCATCAGCGGAGAAGTTAATGCACAATGTAGGAAGATATTGATCGGGACTTGCGAATTAATATTTGAAGAAGGGAGAAATACGACTCGTTTTGCTTATAAATAAATATAGCAAAATTGAAGTGTCTGCCTGTAGGTGATATTGAAACAACTTTCAATTTTACGTCGAGACCCTTATAGCTCGGGGGGAGGGGGGGGCGTATCATTGTTACAGCTGATACAGCCCAATTATCTATTAAATTTACACCACACTGTAGATCAAAGTCAACGAAATTAAACTTGTCGTATAATGATTCCGCAAAGAATTAATATTTTCGATTTTTTTCATAATATACTTACGCTACAAGGCCATTCTTCGCACCAAATATCAAAATTAGAGATCTACGGTAATCATTCTATATAATAATAGTTATTAAAACGAAATTTTCATGTCGCGTACTTCTAAGATAATTATACTTAAGTGCTTTTAATCACTTTAATTGATTTCCGAAGCAAATTAAATAACTAGAAACGAATGTGTTAAGAATACTTCTATCTCTACTGTAACTACATGTTTTTTTTTATAATTAAACCACTCGAGGAAGTTTAAATTTCCTTTTTAATTATTTAACAAAATTATTAGAAACGGTAGAAAAGCTGTGTGTAAAAAACACTTCACGCTCATTTAATTTGAAGTGAGCATCAAAAAAAGTTTCCGGAGTCTATACGCTCAGTAACACAGAATCAGTATATTCAACCGGATGTAACACATTTACCTACATACTAAAAGGAATTTCAAATCCATGTATGGTTATTTATGCACATTTATTTATGTACAGAAATTACCATTAATTTCTAATGAAATGTTATTTTTATTTTAATTCCAAAATCAAATTTATTTAAATTTGTATCACAGTTTAAACATACTTCTATTTCTTTTGTATAAAACAACTTGAGTTATCAATTTTTGACTTTTATTATTACACATTTCGAAGATAAGTGGGACCACTATTTTTAATAGTTAANTTATTATTATTAAGCAACATTAATTATTGGACGATTTAAACAAGAATTAATTGAAAGAATGCAAATTAGATTACAACAGATTTAACTGCAACGATTTTCTTATTGTGCTAGAAAAACTTAAATGAATTTTACTTTCCAGTTTAAGGTGTGAAGAATTTAATTTTTTAAAAAGATTGAAAGTAATTTCGTCGTTTAATTTAAATAATATTTTTGGTCAAAAAATAAGATTGTTAAAAATAAAAAAAAATTGTTATCAAAAGAGTTTCTTTTTACCTTTTAGTGCTGTATTATAGAAACCATAATTGAGTAATAAATTTTCGTCCGGATTCAATTGAAACGTATGAATATAGTAAAATAATTTGATCAGAGATTGTTAGCTACCGACAGGAAAAATATCACAGTTATTGATTTTCGGAAGGCCATCAAATTGTATTAAAAGCTCTAGAATGCTATTTCCGGTTGTATCTTAGGGAGGGGTAGTTTTATAGCCCATAAAGGCCTCGTTCGTCGTATGCGAGATATAAAACAGATTTATTGTTGCAATTTTCTTTTACATACTATGTAGACATCATTTTTCAGCTTTCACGAATCGATCGTTTTAATTTATTTCTGTCGCTAATAAAATGGAAATTTCTTTGTAGTGTAGCATGTTTTAGGGGCCACAACATTTAATAATATGATGCAAATCATAAAAAGGCTTTTTCGTCTTAATATGGACTACAAAAAAATAATGGAAGTGTTTTGTACAACATAAACACAAAAACGATTAATTACAAATTTCCTGTTTTTATTAAACCGTGAACGGGACGCATTATGCCATTTAATGCATTTATGCATTATTCAACATTTAAATTTTCACATGCATAATTAATTTAACAGTCATGAGAGAATAAATATCACCTTTTTAGATTTATTTCAAGAGCAAACGCAATATGTATCTGCTTTATAAAATTCCTAAATGTTAGAATAATAATAAATCGTTAGTAAATTTATTTTTAGTGGAATACTGATAGGTTCGTATCTGGTATCAATTTTGGGAAGTATGTATTTACATATTTGTATAAAAATTACATACACAACATATGCACCTACAGATACATAAAAAGTTATGAAATATAATTTTTTGACAATAAATAAAAACGTTTTAGTTATTACTGATGATTTTTATAGCACATTAAAGTTCGACGGTCGTTTATTTCTATAACCGAAAATTTAGTTTGTTCGTAATATACGGCGTTGTAACTGCTACATTCTAGGGGGATTCTATTATACGTAATTCAAATTATTGCGATTGTAATCAACTATGCTTATATTTAAATTAATCAATCAAAAGGTGAGCATATTGTTTATCCGGGAAATACACTGACGAATGACAAATTTTAAAACGAACGAAATAACCGGTCCAAATTTCTTTTAATCTGTATAATTGCTAAGGAAGAATTTAATTGTTTCACAGAAAACACTTTCTGATTGCAAAATTATTACATTACATTTATTATTATTAAGCAACATTAATTATTGGACGATTTAAACAAGAATTAATTGAAAGAATGCAAATTAGATTACAACAGATTTAACTGCAACGATTTTCTTATTGTGCTAGAAAAACTTAAATGAATTTTACTTTCCAGTTTAAGGTGTGAAGAATTTAATTTTTTAAAACGATCAATACTTTCCCCTTGCACTATTTCTTATTTGAGAGCTTTAACATTTTATTTTTATTTGTGATGAATTTCTCGAAACTGATTGACGAAATTTAGATAGACAATATTATTTTGATACTACTCTTAAGTTAATATACCGTCATTGTAATAACATCGAAGATTAGTAACACAATATTTGAAGAAAATCTACGATATTACGGAAACAACAACAAAAATTGTTGCTATATATCAATGTAATAAAAAAACAAAAAACTTTCAAATTTAATTGCATACGCCATTAAAGCAAACAATCAGTCTCCATAATTATTTCTCATACAAAATCCGAATTAATAAAAATAAATAAAATAGACATTATCCTGTGAGCCTTATTAACGANATTATAAATTCAATAAGTTCGTTAACGTCAATAATATCAATTATTTATGTAACAAGGTTAACGAAAATTCAATCCGTTTGATTTTAATTCTGGGTGGTGCTGTATCTATTTATTATGTATGAAGATAGGGGTAACCTTTTTCTGCTAGTAAGGAATAGAAAGGATAAAAGTTATAAATTAGACCGAATCAGGGCCATAAATAATTCTAAACAAAGGGGCCATCTGATTCGTACAAAAATGAAACAGAAAAAAAAAACGGGTGCACTCACTTTTGTGGTTCGTTTGGATCTCTCTTCTTTTTCTTTTTCTGCACCTTCGGCTTCTTCTGAACTTTAGTTAGAGCTTGGTCCGCCGGTTCAGGAGATGGCCTTTTGATTCCCGATAACTGTAACAAAGAAAACTTGTGTAGACAGATTTTATCGGATAAAATACGTAAAGAAATCATGGTCTAAATTCAAGAAAGTTTTTCGATAATTTTACAACAATTGGAGATAATTACAGACTAAACACATTATAACGAACCTCAAGTAACGGGACGTTTTTACTTTTATGAGATTAAGTTAAAATAGCAGACTATTGCAAATATTAATGAGTAGGGAGCAGATATCGTTTTAAGGTTCCTACTTAGGTCGACGATTATAGTTTCGTGATGTGAGAGCTAAGAAGCCAACAACGACAGTCTGTTACTGTCCCATACAAGAAAGGGGTTTTCGAAAAATTTGCTGTAATGTGGAAGTATATGTAGTATGAGACACGTACGTGTTTGTACCTAGATTTCCACAAAAACTATAGTAGTTCAGTATCCTATGTAAAGCCCTGATATGACATCATCTGTACAAATGATATGTATAACGCATGACATCGAAACAAAACTTTGATGATGACTGATGTTAAATTTTTAATTAAAGAGTAATTAATCTAAACAAAACTGGCCAAGCGAGGGTTCCGAGAAACCTGTAGGTATTTAAATAATCGAGTCTTTTTCTTCCTCAAAACGTATAATTACACTATTACAATTAAAAATTACTTTTTGTGATGTAACTACACATTTACGGTTTGCTGTAGATCATTGCATTTTGCCAAATTTCATAATTCTAAGTCAAAGGGCGGAACCCTAAAAATTAATTAATTATCTAAAAATATTTTTTAACTTGCAACCAGATTACGCACACAATTAACTTACTAATTAAGTATATTATTACATGATTCATAAGATTAACTTTTCGTGATCTATTTTCCCTTGCAACCACTACGTTTCTTAAATAAGTCTATTGCTAGTCCAGTCACGGCACCGTAACTGCTAAAAAAATTATTCTGACTCAGTTTCAGAAAATATTACCAATTAACGTTAAAAACGACGGTATGTACGGACATTTTTTCTCCTTAACAACTAGCAGTTGTATGTTTGTGATGTAAGCACCTATTGATTAAATTCACATCTTTTTTCAAAGACCATTAGACGACAGTGAGTTATTGCATTAAAATTTCTAGTTGGTACGTTTGTACTCACAATGTCGCCATAACGTTGTATATGTATAAGAGGCCAGAGAGGCACAAACTGCTTGTTTTTGTGAAAGTGCATAAATTATTGGCACCTTCATAAAAATGCTCTAATGAATGTACGGTTAGTTGAGAAATTCATATACAGAGTGGACCAAATATAACAACCAATATTCAAAATATGTAGGCCGTAGCCGTGGTAATCCGGACAAAATCGACATATTACGTATCTTGTAATCCGGATGACTCCGATTTTATGTCATAACAAATGCTTGACTTAGTAATCTGGATTTTTCGATATTCCGGATCGTCGAACTTTTAATTGATCCAAATTAGCAAGTCTCCACAGTAATTAATTTAGGTAAAAAATACAAAAACTATGAGTTAAGGATAACGAAATCACGTACAGTGGATTTTATTTATTACGACTTTGGTTATAACGACCATTTTACTATAGCGATGTTAAATTTAAGTTCCTTGAATTTAAAGCATACTTTAGCAAAAAATTTATGTGGCTATAGCAACTTCGGATGTAACATTGAGTTCGGGTGTAGCAACTGTTTTCTAATGAATCGTTTGTAAATCCCTTGTATCTTATCTTTTAATTACATCCACATCGAAAGTCAGCAAGTGTGGTGACCTTTACCATTTGTTTATAAATATTAGCTAGGTAGATAGAACGTGAACGTTAAAATGGTTCGGTTACAAAGTGATATTCTGAGTAGCAACTGTGTTTAGTAAACTTTTGAATAAGTATGACACCAAGATGCACATTCAGTGTTAAAAAAAAAGGCGGAAATCAAATCAAAATTGAAAAATGGTGAAAACTATACATACGTATCTGTATCTCCTTACGTTTGCCTGCAACGACTTCCGGATATAACGACGAAATTATAGTGGTCCCTTGGTCGTCGTTATAACCGAAATCCATGGCAGTTGTATTAAGTGTTAAGTTTACGAGAAGCTAATGTTTACAGTACTACTATAAAAATTGGTAGCACGGTGAATGACATTTCTTTTAATTTATGAAAACGCCCTGTATATCATTACTGTCTTGAGTTGAAAGTACACTTCCGGTTTTTTAAATTTACACCAACCTGCGAATAATAATATGAGAGCTCAAATTCAATTAACAAGGTCGTAAAAAGTTTATTATGAAATTTTGTTAGAAATGTGGAAAATTGATTTAAAATACAGGAAATATTTTCAAATTTCGTGGATTATACAATCAAATTACTCTCATATAAATGTAGGTAACGTCTTCGTATTCAATGATCATAAAATCATAAACAAATACTAAAATGAATCTACATATATGCGCCGACTTTTAATTATATATGTAGGTATTTATACCGTCAATCTGGGTTTAAAATGTTTATAAAGTCATAAAAGATATCGTCAAATAGAAGAAGGATATATTTTATTGGTTGTTCAAAGGAAACAGTAATTTGAAATTTAAATAGTTCCTTTGATCTTCGAAATTAAACTTTTACACGGTTCATTCACATCAAAGGATTTGGCTTATTAGGCACCGAAGGACGATGTATTCAAAGGAAAAGTATTCCAGGTCGACTAGATAACTAGAAACATTAGGTAATAAAATTTTATTGGCCGATAACAGAAAGTTGACTTCAAAATTTTGAAATTGGCCATCATATTTTCCGTGTCCAAATACAAGGACATTATGATGATTCTTTCCGATAAAATTAATTTTTTCAATATTGTTAAGTTTTATGTTATGCAACATTACAGTTACGTCAGACTAGAAAATCNATCAGGTCCGGAATGTTGCTGGTGTTGCGTGGGATGGTGCTGCTGATGTTCCTGGTTGATCGAGGGGATGTCGAACTCCTCGTCGCCAAAGCTCGGAGTGTGAAACGTCTGAAAGGAAAAAGGACGAAACATTCATAATATAGAAGTTTTCGAACAAGTTTTAATGTTAGTTGGTTGGCAGAGTTCCTGTTTCACAACTTTGGAAATTTAGTTGAAACTTTTAAATTGGATACGAATCGTCAGCGTTGAAGAAAATGGAACTAATGAAATCTAAGAAAACTTTTATTAAAATGCGTTCGGTGCAGTGTCTAGGTTTGTTTTTGAAGTGCAACTGACAATGTTCTTTTTTCTCCTCGTAATATCCGCTATTACCGGTTTGTTTTTTTTATAAAACTAATTAATAGTACACCTAAATAATTATCTAGAACGTAGATATATATTCACAAGGAGAATTTTGATCGATGTTTAAATATTAATGTAACGCATGCTTTATTAATTAACTGTGTCCACATCAATATTTCAGACACACCTAGTAGTTATGCTAATTTTCAATACATATTCAAATTGCAAATTTTTAGAGGAGCAGATACTTGATAAATTGTTACTCGTTAATGATATGAATCAATTATTTTACTTTAATTACTACACTTAAAAGGTAACACTTTAAAAGGGCGGAATTTAAAGTGTATTAAATATTAAGACTCTATTCAAAGAAGTGTTCAATGGGAAGTTTTTAATTTTATCGATACTGAAAACTCTTTCTTTAACTTTAAACATTGTAAAACTGGAATCTAACTAATTCATGTATGCTGAATTAAAATATAGCACATATTTTGATATAATATTAATTTTTCGTCACATCCTTGTAGGGAAAAAAATCTTAGGATAGTGATAAATTCGGCCGAAACAAAAACCCATTAAATCGCCCGAATTTACAATCGCCGACATCCCATAACCCATATTGATACATCTACATAATATAAAAGAAAGTCGTGTTAGTTACACTATTTACAACTCAAGAACGGCTGAACCGATTTGGCTGAAAATTGGAACGAGAAGGCGGACATAGAATACTGCCCGTTCCCGTGGAAATTAACATAAAACTGACAGCAAAACGAAAAATTTATCATTCAAAACATCAGTCTAGCCGTTCATTTGTTAAAAATGGTATGACAAACATTCAATCTCTGTTGGGGGGGAGGAGTGATGAAGAGGAGTTGCAATGTTTAATTGCAACATCTCGACATTTTAAAAAATTCAACCTCCAAAGGGAGGGTAAATAGTGTTGCAATTTTTGTTTGGGACAGACTTTATTTGTGGTTGAATTTGCTTGAAACTTGGTATATATTTGATATTATTAATCAAATGAAAAGAGGTTGCAACGTTTCCATGAGGTATATTTCATTTGTACTCGGATTTACTCGAAGGTTGCTCATTGTTGAAATTAAGCAAATACGTGTTTTGGCAATTTTTAAAAATCAACCCTTAAGGATGAAATGTTGTTGCTACGTTTGTATTTGAAATCTAAGATGGCGACATTACATAAAATTAAAACGTTGTAAGGGTGAATTGGGAGTTAAAAGGTTTTATAGAGAAACAATATTAATTTCTGCGAGCAAAGCCGGGGCAAAAATCTAGTTATGTATATAATCTAATGGGATTGTACCATGTATAAAATAAATAGATACTATTTGACAGATATTAATAAATGCATGTATGTGTTTTTCAGGTATGTTTCCTACTTTCTTCTAATTTATTGGACACACTGAGTTGCTTCTCTGTGTTATTCATTATACATTATACATACAGTGAGCCAACAGAACGATAATAGTATCAAGAAAGTTTCTTGACGAGTTAACAAGCGTTTTTATTAACTTCATCGTAAACTCTGTCTTAAGGAACGTTAATCGGACATTCTACTATCTCATTCCATAATAAAAATGATAAAAGCTTTTGTAATGTTCGCAGTAACTGAAGCAAAACGGAACGGGTTTCAAGCTTAGAGTTGACTTAAGCAGCCGAGCGAGTTATTTATATACGAAGCCTTTATGAAACTGTAAATAAATTAGTATGAATAATAGCGCCGAGGATACGCTTCTAGAACTATAACAATAGCACTTAGTTAAAAATTAAAAGTTCTTCTATTATCGTTCTCAAAATCCTGTAAGACGTTTAAAATCCCGAGTACGAGAACTTCTTTTTTAAAAGTGGAGGGTTTGGCCAACTTATGTTGTTCTTAATGTTGAGTTAATGTAGTGATCTACCATTTTACGAATTCTTAGGTCCAGGATGCTAGAGCCGCCAGACATTACTTATTTTTTGAATAACAAAATTGGTGGGATATAATATTGTTAGTATGTAATTTGACCGTATGTATACCTCGTAAGTTTGTAAACATATTACACGCTTTTCTTAAAGTCGGAGTGCTGATTTTTACATGTTACACAGAATATCGTTAAAAATTAATAATCAACACTGCCAGACGCTTCACACCGATAGTAATTTGCGCCAGACGCTTCAAAGTTCGCAAAAAAATTGTAATTTTACTTATACTGTAAGTCTTCATTTTTCAATATGATACACAGGAAATTATTTCAATAATTTTTGTAAGCACCAATTGTAAGGGCGAAACTCAATTAAAATGTTGCTGTTTTATAAAATCACCTTAATTATCGCGCTTGTGGTGTTCGGCCGGATCCTAAAAAAGGTACCGAATCCAGACCGGGTTAAAAGGTTGTGGTAGGAAAAGACAGCACGAACGAAGTGAGTGAACAATTTTTCAATAGGTAGGTACAATGGGAAATGACATATTTTGAAGGTGTTTAAAACAACGCCACGTTGAATTTGCCTTCTTCTTTTCAGGCAGTATTTGAATTTTATTTTAAGCGACCGCAAATATAAAACGTTAAATATTTTAATGCATTCTTCTTGAATTTTTATGTTAACATTTCTGTCAAATTATTCACATAATATAATTCACACATATTAACTTGTTTGTCTCAAATCCCGGAATCTAACCGTTGTGGGCTTCCTTGTTGTAGAACAATAACAATAAATAACAGCTTTGTTTAAATCATCCTTTTATAATAGTTATTTAAGTTAATAAGTAAAGTTAGAAATGGAATTGTAAACAAGTTAAGTACGACTAAATGGGATAATTAAATCAATACTGAGTAAGAAGACCTTGACAGGACAATAACTGGGTGTGCTGCGAAATAAGCTCATAAATAAAAAAATCGATGTTTTCTAGGTCCCTTAATTTATATTTACACATCTATTAGATACGAATTCTTAAAGCAGTACAAATTATTTAGTTTTCACTTTCGAAACAATCTCCTCTGAGTTATTTTTCTTATTACGTTAATTGATTTATAAAAAATGAGTAAGAAGTCTTAAGGTTATCACTTTCTGATTTTGTTTTCAATGTTTGAAGGCATTTTTATAAAAATTAGATAAACGATACATTTTTCATTCAATTTTATTGAAAGAAAATTAAAAATTTTCATTATAAATGATTCGAAAGTTGATATCAATATAAAGTGATCTCTTGAAACTGATTAATTAATTTTAATGATAAGAAGTGTATTACACAATAGTACTTAGACCATGATAATGCATAAAATAACCTTATACTACCCACAGAATTTTCAATGATGTCAGTCAGTTTTAAGTTGTGCTCACCTTAAGCCGGAAAATGTAAATTCTGTCTTTTTCAGTGTAAATTCCGTCTCAACGATTTTTATTACCATACATAAATTCTGTCCTGTTTAAAAATATTGTAAACCCTATAGTAATATTTAAAGTCTCTATTATAGCAAAAAATTAAATTAGAATCATTGGTAAGTCGATATTTTTCGAAGAAAAGCTGCCTCCTCATATACATATTTTTTTAGATAATCACAAAAATCATTCACTCGTCGGTCTTCCAGAAAAAGTGCCATTAAATAAACACTGAAAACACGAACGACATCGTCAGGTCTGGGATACGAGAGTCCAAAAAAACATTTAATAAAACTTGCTACCTCTGTTTTTTGTTCTATATTCAGTGGAAAGACAGAGAGATTGAATTTTTCGATAACAGGCTTGACCTAAATCAAAACGGCAACCTTTTATCTTTGATTTAATCAAAACAGATTACATTGCTTTACGAATTACTTTCACGAAATCCACAAAAATATTTTGTGGTTATTAAACTGATCCTAGTTTTGTACAATCGCCGACGACATATTTGAATCATTTAATATAGGTTTCTGAAGCTGTATCAAGTAGTAAAATAAAATACGAAAGGCACATATGAATCTTGTTGCAATGCGTGAAAAGTAGATATTTAGTCAAAATGTTTGGGACAACTTTTAAAGGAAATATCTATGTACGACAACGTACTACTACACCCTGAGGTATAGGAGGTATAGATATAGGTATATCGGAAGGAATTTACGAACTTTTAGAAGGTCATTAATACATTTTAGCTGGAATTTACACCAACTCCATTAAACAACAGTTAACATGTTTTCGTGAATATGAGGGAATGAAGAAGAAAAGGGCAAAAAAAACAGAAAAAGTAGACAAAAATATATCCGATAGAAAAACTGAAGGGGAATATTTCTCGTTGTATAAGGAATTGTTACATGACGAAATAAAATTTCAGAAAACGTTAGAAGCGTCCGAAATGTGGTATTACTGACGAATGAGGAGGATAAAGTGGATAGAGAGAAGGTTAAAGTGAAGAAAATTGAATTGAAAGAGAAAGAATAGGAAAACAGGACTCTATGGAAGTCAAAAAGAAATAGGCGAGATAGGTTGGCAGGACATCTTCTCAAGCATGAAGGGTTTGTCAGAGACATATTAGAGGCAGAAATAGGAATTAAGAGGAGTAGATTATATTATTGTTTGCAAGTAGTTAAGGACGTGGGATGTTCTAGTCCTATGACGGACGATTTTATGATGATGATGACAATACTTTAGAATATCTAAATAGTAACTTAATGATTACGTTTAATAACATTCATCTGCTGGTTACCAGCAAACTGAATATATATTATCATTACTATCAACGACCGTCGTCAAAGAATTATCTCATTGGCAAACGCCGAGTTACAACTAATAATATTTTGACGGATTTCTGACGGACGGCTGCCTGCTGTCGTCGAGATGATAGTGAGCATCAAGCTTTAGTCAGTAATTGAAAACTATACGTTGGGTGTCCACACGCGTTTTAAATTTGCCATAAGTTCCTAATTCCTATTACTTGAGGTTTTGAAATAATGTATTACCTTTTGATCCTATATAAGAAGTCTTAGGTCAAAAATAAAAACAGGGATGAGTAAAATTGGTGTTGGTGTTGGGAAAACTCGAGACTGTCTTTATACTAACAAGGCCAAAACCAATACCAAACGAATAAGACCTAGATTAAAACCAAGATCGAATGAACAAGACCGAGACTAATATCAAGACCAAACAAACAAGACCAAGACTAATATCAAGACCAAACTAACAAGACCAGGACTAAAACCAAGTCCGAATATGCAAGACTAAACGAAAAATTATTACTTCCGGTGGATTTATGAGTTAAACTATTTAAAATAATTTTAACTTTATCGCTGTTTGAAAAAAAGGATCTACAAATATGTCCTTGGAGTAACTGTCCTTTGTTCCTATGTCTCGATACCAGAAGACCAATGGTAATAATGGGATTGTCTTGGTTTTGGTCTTGGTCTTTCTTTGCTCATTACTAGACAAAAATAAACACTTACCATGGCTGAATGAGGTGTACTATCATCGCTATCTTCACTTGTGGTTGGTTCTTGTCCCGTTGCAGCTGGAGGGCTATTCCCACCTCGCTGAGGTGGCGACGTACCATAAGGACCCATATTATTAGGAGGAGGTTGCCCATGGCTCATCATCATCTGCTGTTGTTGCTGGTGCTGTTGATGGTTTTGTTGCTGTTGTTGCTGCTGTTGTTGTTGTTGTTGTTGTTGGGCTTGCTGTTGTTGCTGGATCATCAACAATTGACTGTTGTGTTGTTGATTAGGGCTAGCCATCGTATACGTAGGTTGTGGACTATGATAGGAAGGGTTAACAATACCTGGAACAAGGGAAACACTATACTATTCCTTTTGTTTTATTGCAATTTTAGTTGCAACCTAATATGTCTCGGAAATGTTGGATTTTTTTAACGTCCAAGAACAACTATGAAATTGTTTAGAACTTCAATTTAATAAATGTCTACATTCTATCGTAATTAAAGTGCTGACGAAATGAAGGACCATTTAACAAGCATAAGAAAATGTCAATACCAAAAAAAATCTTTCCAAAAAAGTTTATCGAGTCAGTATTTTTAATTAATTGGAGACCCTAGAAAAAAATATAAGAATTTTTTACTGAACCATTAATTTATTATCATTTTTCGCAAACAAACTTTTATAAGCCAAATTACGCATTTATAAAATATACTGTAAGGAAAAAGAATTTTAAATTACAACATATTAGCATTTATGTTTTTTTAGTTGACCAGTATTCAGAAAATAAGGAAAAGGTTCTTATAGTGTTTATTTCTTTAAT